GGGGGGGGGGCTAATATCGATCCTACGACGCATAAAGTTTGATTTTGGTACTTTTCAGATATATTGGCGGTCCACAATAAGCCCCTTGTTTACTTGTTTATTGTTTTATCCAGCTTTTAAAGGCTCATACACCATTTTTCATGTATAAGATGACTTTTTGTTTACTGCCATGTAGATTGTGAATATTTCAGCAAATGCCCCGCCCACTGCATCGAACCTCCCATGCGATGACGTCCGACGACTTCTACGAGGAACTGGATCACATCTACGAAGAGCTGGACAACTATAGGGCAAAACTTGTAGATACCCCCGAGAGAAGTATGAGCTCCAGTACATTGAAAGGCGATCAAGAAAGTGAGCCCGAATTCGCAGCGGTCATCCAACTCGAGGAAACCGTTTCTGAATCGGACGGTGAGGGCGACGGCGATGACGAGGACGACGTTGTTCTGCCCGAAGAGCTGAGCGAGTACAAGGCACTCATTGAGTCGCAGCCACTGAAAGGTGGTATACGGAAAGCTCATCCGGACGGCTTGGTGTTCCCACGAATAACTACCGTAGTTGTTAAACTGCCCGACTTACCGGAGGAGCATGAGTCGAGTTCACAGTCCACTGAAGACCGTGGGGTCACCATGATCGACATACCGTATGCTGATGGCTCGGTATCATCCTTCAAAGAACTGTCTCCTTCCGATTTAACGTGTAGTGAAGATGAGTCCAAGGCTGCAGTAGTCAGAGCACGTACCCAAGTACGAGCTGATCACTGTAAACTTTTGATACATGGCTGGGAAACGTTGATTTCTGATTCGGAAGATGGATTCTGAAGTGTCAAAGCTGTAATCTGGTGGAGTCGTGATCCATATGATCTCTTAGTCAGTCCAGATTCCTCATGCCAACCTCGCGGGTCTCGTTTTGCTTTCTGGCCCTGACCTTATGCTCATAGGTCTTATCCATAAGGTCTAGTGGAACAAGCTGTCGCGGAATTTTCGGTAGAATGATGTTCGTGGCGCATGCTGCAACTTCCTTACCTTCACCCCCACCCTGTTCCTTTTCTTCTGTCTCAGAGATTGGTAAATACCCTAAGAAAAAACCTTTTCGTGGATTTAATGGTTTTGGTAATGAAATCAAAAATCACTTTTTGTCGGGAACTGGCGGAACTGGCTCTGAATCTGGGAAACTTCCTATGTTTCCTGTACTTCTTTCTTGATCAATAGATCGATCCGAAAGCTACCTTAATCCGCGCTAAGTATTGGTTCCCGATTACTGAGACGTGAGGGGCGTGAAAGTTGCAATGTGTGGAAGGCCCGCCCCTTGCGTCGCTCGTTTCTAAGCTTGGCATGAACTAATTTTGCGTACAGTGTGCATTACATTACTGCAGTAGGAATACATTTCATACTCAGGGTTTCTTTAGTTTTTTATCAATAGAATTATTAGAGCACAAAGGTTACCTAGGGAATTTTGTGCAAATTCAATCTAGGAGGTTCTTTAGGTATCCTTGAAGTG